GTAATATGATCATCTCATAACCTAAAGGTCTTGAGATTGACCACTTGTAAGTTTATGGGTGAGCACTGCTGAGAAGTCGCGTCTCTGGTTCAGCAGTAGAATGCTTACCAATCACGCATGTGGGAGGGAGTTTGATCCTTGGCCGACGTGCTCCTAAACCCCGCTAAGACGGTAGTAAGGCAGGTAAAAAGCTAAGGTTGGAAGTGACGCTAGCGACCCCACCATGTAAAAATAAAACCACTCCTACCGAAACTTCAAAACTCCACCTTGAAACCCTATGTTGCACTGGGAACGTAAATGAGTAAAATTTTTTTTAAATAAAATAAATAATATTGCTGAGAAGTCCAGAACTGGTGCGAAATAGCTGTGCAGTACTCCCTGGTCCTCAGTGTTCCCCTAACTGACATGGGTTTGTGATTGAATCTTTTTTCTGTAACATGTTCACTTCTTGATTTAGAGGTTTCGATCGATTTCGTATAACAGAGTAGATTTCTTTTTCACAAAATGAAATCAGTAAGCAAACTTAAAGCAGAAAGTCCACTGGACAGCGGTTTCGACCCTATTTAGAATTTTTCAGCAGTGCATACTCAAAATATACTGAGAGATTGAACCAGTGGTAATTAGATTACAAGACGAAGAAGGTAAATTCTCAGGCTGACTGGAGAGAAGCAGGAACTCATAATTCATAACTTCTATCGATTAGATTATGCGTCAAACTGTGGGGATTGAGAAGACAGAAATACGCTGAACTACCGATTAGAAGACTCTAGAAGATCTAGATCACACGAACTCGAAGAACTGAGCGCGAAAACCAAAATCTGGCAGAAGAAGCAGGCATACAGCGAAGACAGGACTCCAGATGAACATGGAGAAGACGGGGGTCATGAAGATAACCAACCGACAGAAATAAAAACAGCAACAACCAGCACCAATCACCAACAACGGGAGAAATTTGACAGAGGTTACATCCTTGATCTATTCGGCTAGGAAGCATTGTTTCCACGACAGGCCGGCGAAACAGATGAAGATATTAAAGCTGGCCAGAATCGAAATGGCAAGATATGTCTTCATCAACCTGAAACCAGTATGGAAATCTTCTGCACCCAGTCAGCATAAAGACCAAGAATGGATTCGGATTTTCAACACAGTTTCTAAGTCATTCATTTCTTTTGTATGGGTCAGAAACTTGTCGTGTCACGTGTAGGATTTCCAACAAGTTGCTGCACACTTTTATCAACAGCTGCCCCCTTCGCTGGCCACATACTAAAGTTCAAATGGCCAACCAGCCGGCGAGAAATAATTAGCAACAAGAGACTTTGGCAACAAACCATACAAGAATCAATCGCTCAAAAAATATGCAGGAGAAACTAGAGATGGATTGATCGGGCATACGTTGAGGAGGCAGTCAAATGAAATCGTTCGCTAGGCCATCACCAGAATGGAATCCCAATGGGAACCGACGACAAGGGTCATCAGTGAGAGGATGACATGGCGGAGAAATACAGACAGGTTGACAAATCAGTACATGCCTTTGCACAGATACATGCATCATTTTAGTTTGCCATACTTCTAAAACTGGCAGATATAAAGAAAATCAATAAGCATGCAATGATACTAAAGCACCTGAACATGCGTATGATAGATACAATGACTCCTTGGAAGATCAGTAAAGACTTCTGATGAACTTGAAGAAAGTGTCATATATATAACCACGTCACTAAGTCTCCAGGTGTTGGTTTCTAGTATCAAGAAGAACTTAACCAGGCAGTCTACATTTCCATACATAGTTCAGATCAACAGATAACAACTTCCCTTGCACAGCTGTGGAAGGATACTATCCGTTAACCATTACACTAGCCACTGAGGTAGGTTCGCTCCTGTCAATCCTAATCATACTTATTTAGAATGTCTGGAGCAGGTAGTGACTACTTGACAAGTCAAAATAGTCTTGGGTCGATAAAAATCAAGACTACCAGTCAGGCGTTCGGATACGAAATTCTGAAACTAAGATTTTCATTTTAACCCAAACCACCACCCATTAAGTCAGTAATAGTTTTCCAACCCAAGAATATCACACTGTCAACTGACAACCTGTTTCACCCTTTTAACACACAGACCTAACTAGATAACTGGTGTAGTGATATACTGACATGACGGCTGGCCATAACCTGTGATGACTGCAGTAAAATGACGGCCTGATTAGTAACTGGGCCTCATAGATTAGATGGTAGTTCACAAGACTAGTAGTTCAAAGGACACTGGTGTGAACACTGTCACTACCCAGTCTTTCGTTTGACCTTTATTCATCACCCACTACATCATTATCAGTCTGTCAATCTAAGGCTAACTCAGATACTACTTTGAGTAGACACCAACTGGTGTGAGGCGTCTAGCCCTTTGTTTGCTACAGACTGAATTTCATCAGTTATGTTTGCAATGTAGCCATCATACCACTAAGTGGCTCGCCATCACACTGTTTGAGGAATTCAGCAAGAAGCTTTTGCTGCACCTAGGTTTCAGTGATAACGTCTCTGACTGCAGCACTGGGTGATGCGAGTTTGAATCTTAGAAGGGACATGAGTTCCTTCAAGGTTATAGATACGTCTTGCTGACTAATGATTGCCAACACGTAGAGAAACTAGGTCCAACCGAGGCTTTCTGTGGCCGACTGTCTCCAACCATATAATAACAACCATCTCAGATAGTCTTTCCATAAAACAATATTTGCATGAAATGTACTATGAATTGAATCTGACCATCACTAACTCTAATCTTAATTTAGTTCACACTGTTTGTCAATGACGATGCTCAGTCATTATGCGCAGCATGTGTCTGGTTGTATCAGTATTCACAACCTTATCTACTGACTTGTTTTCACTAAAGTGATACGCTACACCTTGATACCACTTAAAATGCTTCTCTATCTAGAATGAACATGTATCCAATCATATGTCCTCTTTCCAAAAAAAATAAAGAAATATTTTACCCAGGATATAAGTAGTCTCACAACCCTACTACTAATGATTATTAGAAAACAAGTTAGTAGTTTGACTGATACATTTCTGTCTTATATAACACAGAGAAATCCACTGACTTCTGCCATTACGCAATACATATTCCACTCTCCAAATGTAACAAATACAAATGATGGAACCATGAAAAGGCAAAGCCGTCTCCCTATTGCATTTATGCTTCTGATATCAAGAAGCAATCTGTCCTACAAACATTATTCCAAATATTTTTTTGTCTAAGTCAATCTTTGCGTTTTTCCCGTCGATTGATTCTACCAAAATTTTCGGCCTTAGTTGACATTTCGTCTCCTAGAACGGACGCTTTAACAATGTCTAAGAGTTAACATTGATGGTGTATGGTGGGTAGTGACTAGCAGCTGATACTACGATGTCAGGGGGTATACCATCACTTAATGGGGATTGCAAACACATCCAGATGACGAGTCCAAAGTAGGACGAAATGCTGGATTCCTCTATTACTCAGCATCAACCAGATACCATCATTATTCCACATAAATTGATTAACAGAGTATAAAACAACAACAAAATATGGGATCATAATAAACGGTTTTATTATTATGATTATCATGCATGCACTTACTTGCATTGCTCTATTCATCCTAGATCAGATTCGCGTGTTGATCTCATTTAAAAAAATTCTCTTTTGATTATGATATCATTCCATCAGCGATATAAAATTCTGCAAAATAATAATAATAAGAAGAAGAGTAGTTTTAGTAACCCAATATGCAATCTGTTCATATTCAATATAAGTTGAACAGGTTTCTTGTTTTAACTAATCAACGAAATCCTAGTTGTCTGAAAATATTTCAAATTATCAATTAACTTAACTAAAGAGAAAAACAAAACAAAATTAATAATACTACTAGTAATAATAGTGTATAATTATTCACAATTTTTACTGTGCAAAAAACTTCTACCTTCAAAGTTATTTAGTTAGTTAGTAAGTTAGTTAGATATTTTTGTAATCATTACATGACTCTGAATGTTGAATATTGAATCTTGTCTATTGAATAGAAGAAGTCAGCATTACAGCCTGGCTTACTGACTGGTGGTAGGACCTCCACCCCAGCAAAACTCTATATATATACTTTTATATGTAACCTGCTTATACAAAGGACAGAAATCAATAAGCTTGCTCATTGATTGCCAATCTATTTTACTGCCTTACTTTCAATTGCATTGCATACTCAAAAATTTGATATGGTCTACAATCACTACACACTGATAAGGGTGGGGAGGTAGGGTTTTTAAAATTTAGGCTACTGAATAGAAGCATACATGAATTTCTTTTTAAAAAAATATTTTTCTCTCCTCTCTTTCATTGGTCAACTCATTATTTCCTCCTCCTCCCCCTAGTGAGTTAGAATACCACTCAAAACTTCTACCCTTCAAAACTCACAACTCACTGAACCAGAACAGTAGGATATTTAAGATTGTATGCTTTTAATCAATTCTGTATATTGATAGCGGATGAGTATGTCTGTAGCGTAGAAAGGGATGTAATTGATTGGCCAGCGGTGAGTACATATAAGAACAGGGGAACGGAAGTCATCACTGGAGTCTAAAACAAATTAACCAATAAGCAGTTAGAGTTGAAAGCTTTCTGACTTAAAATTATTCAATGACAACCAAGGGGGTGTATTCTGTTCCGCTCATGAGTTTTCCACATATCTGCATATTACACTACTAGATGGAGTGAAATTTTTACCTTTTCACGAAACAAGATTATCTTATCTTGAAAGGGAAACAGTCTCTTTGACGTCTTGTCTGTGCTATTTTTGATGTATCAAAGTGTTGTGTGTATTTGTGTCTGCGTGTGTGTGTGGGTGGGTAGGTAGCAATGTTTCTACTCAAAGGAAACGCACGCTGTCACACACACACACACTGACGCAGAGACAGACATCGTCTCTCTCTCTCTTTAATGGATAGAAATTTGTGAGTAGTCATGCATTTTATCCAATCGCACTTAGATAGTTAGTAGTTATAGTGTGTGTTATTTTTGGGGCGGAAACTGAATGTTCCACTTCTATAATCATTCAATTTTTAAATCATATTATTATTATTATTAGAAATCACTGTCTTTGTTGGACGGAAGGAAGTTGATAGATTTTGCGCATACAGAACAGATTCTTGATCTTCCTGAAGGTAAAAGCACTCTCTATATAATATATAACTATGATAATCATAATAATAAATTTATATTGTAATACTAATAATAATAGTACTACTACTATTACTATGTGTGTGTATTGAGCGAAAAAAGGAAACTCTCGTTTTTTTTGTCATTCTTTCAAATTAATGTTAACACTAACGGAAGGAAATCTGTGTTCAACTTCTCTTCATATCCATCTCAATCTCTCTCTCGCTCGCTATGCCTTCAATGTTCAATGAAGCACCGTCTAGACTTGGATTCCTGTTCCGTTCTAGTTTTCATCAAAACGGAGAGAGAGAGAGAGAGAGAAAAGGACGACAATAACAACATCTGAAGTAAATCAAAAAAGAAAAGGTGTACAATTTGGTGTAAAGGAAGGAAGTACTACTAATATTACTAGTAACAGTAGTACAACTTCCTTCTACATCTTCAAATTACCTCAAAGATCTGGATTTCCGATAGAATACAACACTAACTAACTAACTACATGAATACACACAACTGTGATTCGTTCCGCCCGATTTGATTAGTTACTTAGTTAGTCAGTTACTACATTGTAACGATCTACATCCGGTCACCAAATTGAAATAAAAACAAGATTACATCTGATTACTACTCATAAATACCACTACTACTACGACTGCTATTTCCGTGTGCGTGCGTGCATGCGTGTTTGAGTTTATCACTCCGGATATATGTTATACACCATAACAACAAGTTGACAACACACATATACAGCAGCAGGAGTAGTAGTAGTAGTAATAGATGTGTAAAATGTGATTGTGTTCACTTTGATTGCTTTTCGGATATTAACTATAATTGTGTATTTGTTAATATATATCTGTATCTATATACATATTCCTTGACGATTTCCGCTTCAACGCGCTTGCCATTACAACCTAATCTTTCTTTCTTTCTTTTCTATTTTTTGCCAGCTTTCTCCTTCCTCCTCTATCAACAACGGTGCCTACATTGTGATATAGAAGAGATATAACAATAATAATAGTAATTTTTAAACAACATCACCATTAAGTGGAGTAATATCATCACGTGGCGAAATCGGAAATAACTTTCAAAGTAAGTTTACATCAGTTATATATATGTGCATATATATACTCATATTTATATAAAATGTAATGGTTATACGTGTTTCTATTGCATATCTACTATATATGTTCACAATTTTGACAATCTTCCCCTCTTTCTATATATGTGTGAGCTCACGCATCAGTCTGTATGTGTGCGTGTCTGTGCAGAGAAGTGTAAATATATTTCAGTGGAGTAAAGTGGCAAGGTCTATTGATCATCAACTTTCTGTCGTTTTCTGTCTGAGTAAAGAATGGATGAAATTAACATGGACGTTCTACTGATACAGAATGAAGTTCTTATATGATGGATAGATTCTTATCTGCTGAAGCTGACAAGTCGTCTCATATGAATGATCTTAAACTAGATCCATCTAAATGTTATATTTTGTTGATTTTAGTTTCAGAGTTGCAAACAAGACTTGTGTGGACTAACTGACTCAGTTCCATGATTGCTGTAATATTGACGGCACTGTGATATCTCTTAACTCGGAATCAGTTTCTCTTCGAATCTCTGTTGATCGTCTTATATCCTGTTGACTTACTAAAAAAAAATAATAAAGAAGTTGAGACTTCCTGTTGTCATAACTCGACCTCACCTCACCTCTTCTCTTAGAATTTGGTAATTCATGTATTCTGCCCATTCTTCTTTACTGCTCACCATTATTCTTCTATGGACTTCTCAAAAAAGACTATGCAATATTAAGTAGAACACTGAAGGCTAGCTGTAGGTATGTAGAGTTATTGGTGCGTCTTTGATTCGACTAATTGATATGAATTATTGTCAATAAGCACTTCATTTCTTGCGAGCAGTTGGCTAAAGTTATCGCGTCTAATACCGAACATCGCCTCTACTTATTCGCAACTCCTTCCTTGTATATCTTGTGGTAAGACCAGAAGAAACTTCATAAGAATTTATGCTCGTATAGCTACTAACTATAAAATTTCTACCATTCCATATTTAGCAAGGGTTTGGTGTGAAGAGGGAGTCAGAAAAGAACTTACAAACCTTTTAAAATCATTAACTAAATTGCAAAATATAAGCAGGGATTATTGTTATTACTCCATGTATTATCTATGATATTATCTACTTATAATTCATTATGTTTCCACCAACATTCTGTTTATTGTAGTGGTTTCATTATTAATATTATTACTACTATTTTAAATTTTATGCATGTACTTACTAATAAAAGGAGCTAAATTGTTGCAATAAGTATAAAAATGCTGAAAATTCCATTCTGTATAATAATAATTATTATTGTTTGGAATAAAGCGATTTTCATTGAACCCTAGCAATTGGATTACGTCACCCAACCTACTTTTGTAACTTTATTTTAGTTTCTAACCGATTAACGCCTTCTAAATTACGTAATTTGTTGTCAAAAATTAACAATTGCATTAACACATCTTTGGAAATATTCCTTTTGTTGCCAAGAAAAATTACTATAAATTTGCGGTTTGTACAGCTTGAGAATGATATCGCCGAAAAGAGTAACTATTTGCTGAACGCCTTTTCTTTTCTATAAAGCGATTATTATTAATGAATTTATACATATATTGATTTAGGCATATCCATCCAGTCAAGCGTGAGGATGGATTTCCCGCGCTAAATCACGAATTGGTAGAAGTTAGAATTCATTTGCGGGCCAGTGAATCGGGTCCCAGTGGCTGAATGGTATACGAGCCAGCTTGCCTTGTAACCTGAAGGTCGTGGGTGTGTAACCATTGTAGTGGGCACGTACTGCCAATGATTCTCATACTAGGATGTTGAAACAGCTGTTCAGTACTCCCTACTGGTTTTCAATTGTTCTCTAACTGACATAAATCCGTGGGAAAACTTGAAAAACAAATCCAATCCTTACCACTCAAATCCTTAAAAAAAATTATATCTGTATACGACGAAGAAACACATCAGGAATGTAATAATCACCTTCTTCGTCTTTAGGAAGAATATCTGTCATCAGACAATAACTTCTTGAGAAAAGAGAGACTGGAATAGATCCACTGTGATACCATGACATCGTTTAAAAAGTTTATTAGCTGTTCTGTAGATAAGCTTTCAAAAGAGTTGTAGATCTTTCAGCCTAATTCATTATCACTTTATGTACTGATGATACACCTAAATACGCCTAAATAACCTAGTATGAAAGTGTGACACTAGGATGCGAGTAAAAAGGAGAATATCGTATGTTTAGCTTTGAGATCTTCTACCTAGATATGACTATGAAACAGAATTCAGTACTCCAAACTGACAAGAACTGTGAAACTGACCAAAAAATGCCTCATAAAACATTTTTTTAAAAGTCATAATTACTTAGAGTCAAATACTTGAACAATGATCTATGCCCCTGAAACAAGCGTTGTCGCCATGAGAAGCTACCAACCGAAATGACTCTCTGTAGTGATTTCAGAAGAAGGACAATGATGACAATAAGTTTACAATAAGTTAACAGGTTGAATATATGTGAGAGCATTTGATGATTGATTGATTAACTGTTAGAGCTATTGTGACTATTTAGAACTTAACTACTCAAAACTGATACAACAAGAGAAGAGATAAAACAATGAAATTGTCGAATTTCATAAAAAGACAATTTCCAAAGTACAGTATTCACTCCAAACGGACTGTTCGTTATTTTACGCTAGGTAATCAGCATAAAAGCAGACTCCTTACATTCTCTTTTGTCATTTGTTTAGTATGCTTAACGCTTAATTCAGTCACCTGATTTACGATAAATTTACCATCGTCATCCTTTAGTGTGATAGTGTCCCCTTTTTATTGATTTCTAATCACCGTACTTGTGCGTCGGTGGTACAGCGGTATAATGCTCGTCGACCACGCAGGTGGTCAAGGGTTCCATTCCCGGCCGACTAACTCCCAAACCTGGCTAAGTTAGTAATAAGACTGGTAAAAAGGGAGGGTTGGGCATGGGGCTAGCAACCGCATTCCTTAAAAATAAAGCATCACTGCTACCGAAACTTCAAGCTTGTAGCCTGAAACCATATGTTCCGCTGGGAACTTAAAGGAATAAAAAAATCAGCGTACTTGCTTTTGAAATATATACTAACACTTTATATATATATATATATGTATATATAAGGCCCACCACATTAACCAGCGAACATTTCGACATGAATACGACTTAGGCGATGAATGGTGAGAGTCATAGTTTCACTGGTGACAATATTTTCTTCTACGTCGTAGATATATGTCGTCATAAGTGATGAAAACCCCCAATACTACATCCAGAGTTCCACACCAACCGATTATCACTGCTTCACGCTGAAATTATATTCTTATTTGGTTATAGAGTAGTATTATACCAGCCTATTAAAACTAAGAGTTAAGTGTACACAGTCAGGTTATTGAGAAATTTACATCCAGACACTTTGCTGGCAATAACGATCATTTTATGTTAATCTGAATGAAGAATATTCTTTTCAATAATTTCTCCTCTCCAGGTTCTTACAATTATAAAATGTAATGTATTTGTTGTCGTTACCCACATTCTACGAATCTATTATGACGAATCATCAGGACCATTGTCTCCCATTTCACAATATTTTGTAATCGATTTCAACCTAGCACGTTTGTCACACAAATTATTATTATTATTGTTTCCTCTAGTTCATACAGGAACATAGGGCTTCAGGCGAACGTCTCTATTGCGTTCGGTTCTCTGCCAACGTTTTCACTTAGCTCCACGTCTACCCACATAATTTCATCTTCTATTCATATGACCCCTCCATGTCACCCTAGCACTGACGACTAACTCGCCACCTTCCATTCGGTTTGCACTCCAGCAATGGCCTAGCGTGTGATGTCACTTGATGGTTTTCTCAGAGTATGGCCAGGCAATCCATCTCTATTTCTTCCTGCATATTTGTCGCACAGTCGCTTCCTGGTTAGTCTGCCCCCAGGGATCCCTGTTGCTGATCTTTTCTGGCCATCCATCTGATCTTGAGTATTGAGGGAAGACAGCTGTCGATGAAAGTCTTTAGCTTTTTCAAAGTACCCCTGGTGGCGCGCCAAATCTCTGATCCGTATAGTAAGCAGCACTGACTTCACATTTAAGTTGAAAATCCGCATCTTATTTTTGATCCTGAGTGCTGTTGATCTCCAAACAGACTTGAGAGTAATGAAAGCTGGCCTTGCTTTCCCGATCCTCGCTTTCATATCCTCGTCAATTCCGTCCATCTCTAGTTGAAACGATGCTTTCCAGTTAGGCAGGTAAGTGAAGGAGGTCGCTACTTTCACATTTCTTCCAATTATGCTGATTGTTGCCTGTTGTTGTTGCTGCTGTTTTCTCTATGTTCACCTGAAGTCCTATCTTCTGCAGATACTTCTTCTGCCAACTTGTTACTTATCACTTGCATATCTTCCAGTTTGTGGAAAATCAGAAACTGAAAATTATCACACAAATACGACTATTTATTTTGTCACCCCATAACTAATCTGTTATTCTACGTAAAAAATGTATCCACCGCATAACTGGCTCTCATTATTGTAACGACAACAAATACACTATATTTTATAATTGCAAGAACTTGAAGAGGGGAAATTATTGAGAAGAATATTCTTAGTTCAGATTGATTTTTAATTCATGATATGTGAATATTTCACACTATTAAATCATTTTATGTATTGAGGTTTCTTCAATAAGAATAAAAGTTATGGCTTAGAAATGTACATACTAATCAGGATGGATGGGTGAATGGATTGAGCTTTCATTGATGATAAAAGATGGCTTGAATTCAATAAACTGAACACTAATCAGTCGACAAATATTACGTTAAATCTAATCATTTTCTAGTGTCAAGTTCGGTCCATACGTCATTCAACGGTATCTTTCTTTCGTATACAAATTCAAACCTAATTTAGAACAAAAATCCTATCTCATCTGTTCTCTACCTTGTGATAGATTGTGTTTGATTGTATTTGACTTTCTGTTTAGGCATCCAATACGGATGCAACCTTCATTGTATACA